GTGCGGCCGTGACACGGCAGGACGGGTTCATATATATGATTTGTCAACGACACAGACCGCTAATGGCGCAGATTTCCAGCCGATTTGCCGAAAAAGTGGCCCGTCGGTCGCGTGCGATATGAGAAACAACCGATCTGCCGCTCCTTTTTTTGCGATTCTCTCCCCCGCTCGACGGAGAAAAAGCGTGCTCGAGAGATGTCGAGAAGGGTCGTCAGCGATCACGCGGAAAAATTGACGATGCCTCCAATATGTCGATGAGCGAGCTCCAAAGCGAGCAAAGGACGGGGCTGGCACCCTCCGTGTCCCATATGGAAATACAGACGCGTTGCAAAATGAAATGTCGAGAATCTGGATTAATACACAGTACATCGAACATGTAGCAGATATTCTCTTACATTGATGAACAACATGGAGAATAGACAAGGTTAAATATGTAATACAGATTTTTATGAATAAATTGGATGGTTCGCTTCGTTTGAAAATTGTAGCAAAGACGAGGAACTAATGCAATAAACGCGACGGGATTGATCATTTAAGACGGGTTCTCGAGATCATTCGGTAAATTGGAGCGGTACCCCTCTTTGGCGAAGCGAGGGTCTCACGGCCGAGTGAGCTAAGCCTAAGATTGGTTTAGTCGCCACGAAGGCACGCCGCGAGCCGGCAGTTTCTGCGGATCACGCGTCACCGAGTAAAACGCAACCGGAAAAAGAGACTCGTGGTGGTAACATCCCCTTTTCTGGTTTTCTCCGGTTTTTTTTTTTCTACCCCTCCGACGAAGAGGATCCGAAAAACGAGGCTCGGCCATCGTGGCAGGTGGGATACCACCGATACCTTCAATAGTCCCCTCGAATACCACGAGCTTCCCTTCAGGTGTGTAAGCGTCGAATAAGTGTCCGCGAATTTGGGGAAAAATTTCGGTTTGGATCCCTTTTTTGCTTCCTATTCAACCGCGTATGCTATTGAGACGAGATAAGACTAATTCTTGGATATCTTCTCCGTTTATTTCCGTTTTACGTTAATTATATAATGTTGTATCGAGTGATCGGTGTTTAATTGGTAATAAAATCGTGTGAGTCACGTTGATGATAGTTGGTTATCCAGTTTCCATCTTTCCTGTCTCCCCTTTCATTGGCGAATGTGAGAAAAGGATTAGGATTAGGGGATAGCGTGCGAATACGATCGAAAGGGATCCCTCCTAGATTTCTCCAATTTCAGAAAAGGATCACCGTCCGCTATAACCGTTCGACAGATTCGTTACTACCGTGGATGTTACATAAATCTTATTTCTAACTTGCTTCGCAAACGTACTACCCGGAGTAAAAATACTTGGAAAACTGTCAATCGGTCTTAACCCTTGCCCATAGATTCAAAAGGAGATTCGAAATTCTGTGAGAATTCGTTCTCCCTCTCTGTGACCGAGGCCGCGGACGCGATGTTTTCTCCGCTCGTGTGCTCGCACGTTTACGCTCGCGCGTGGGGCTTGATAGATCGGCCCGGCGAAACGAAGGGGTAGTTTGGCTTTAATCGATCCTGTAATCGCCGGGTCCGACAGTTGGCCCCGGCCTGCCTTTTTGTCGGCAGTTAGATGGATGGCGCCATTTACATTTTGTCAGTGCGACATGCGCTAACGTAACATAACGCCGCCGCTATCATATCTATCACAAACTCTGGACCGGTGGCTGCACCAAATCCCAGTTTCTCCACTCTCCACCCTGATTTCACATGTTTTCGTTCGGTTTACACACCTTTTAAATTGCTTAAAGCTTACAACTTCGTTTAAGGATGTATTGGCTATACAGTCAATCCCAAAAGTTTATGTACCTTAGAAAAACGCATTTCCTATAAATAAAAAGAAATTAGACGTCGGAAGATCAATGCTAATAATAAATAGCTACGTGCTAAAAAGTATAGA